GGTAAATAAGGAGTTGGAGGCTTTACTGGAGGTGCAGGAGCAGGAGCCTTGGGTGGTGGTAAATAAGGAGTTGGAGGCTTTACTGGAGGTGCAGGGGCAGGAGCTTTGGGTGGTGGTAAATAAGGAGTAGGAGGCTTCACTGGAGGTTGAGGAATTGGAGGAGTTGGAGCCTTAGGTGGAGGCAAATAAGGAGTTGGAGGCTTTACCGGAGGTGCAGGAGCAGGAGCCTTGGGTGGTGGTAAATAAGGAGTTGGAGGCTTCACTGGAGGGGCAGGAGTTGGGGCCTCTTGGGGTGCAGGAGTCGGTAGCTTCACAGGATAACTGGGACGAGCTCGAACTGGCACTTGAGCAAAAGCAGGCTGCAGACAAAATAGCAAATTTTAGGCACTTCTAGCCAAAAAAAAATGCCTACTGAATACCAGAAAATGAGCAGTGAACACTGTTTCAAATGTACCTTAATCTCAGCATCATCCTTTTGAGATGAAACCTACAAAAAAAGGAAAAACAGAAATATGTTCATAAGGTTAACAAGGTGCCATACTAAGAAAAACCTCTTCTCTTGCCCATCTACTTAACTCAGATAGAGAAAGAGAACATACACCATTAGCTACTAGAAGGAGAGTTCCCAACAGAAACAGCAGAGTTTTGGAAGCCATTGTAAGAAAAGGAGAGGGATACTTCACACTTCACACGGAACAAACTGGTGGGTGTGCTTTAAATAGAGTCAGGGTCAGGAAGGTGAAAGAAAGCTGAGTAAACGTTAAATGCTAATTTCACAGATCTCTGTTGCAAGACTGTAATATGACTAATTTCCCTTGGAAAATCCTTCCCAAAGACTCAAAATCCAAGCGTCCCAAGGACTCTGTCGGTTAAACTAGTATATCTAATCCTCATAATAGCTGTTAATTGTTAATAGTTTATTAAATAGTACCCGAGTGCTGTCTTCTTAAGACTTGGTTCATAAGCCACATGTTATTACTTGTATTATTATGGCAGAACATCTGACCATCCTGCGTGGTGGGTTCATTTGTTTATTAATAAAGCAATATAAGTGAGGCCATTGACTTGTCACCCATTCCACATGACACAATCAGGGACATGTGGCCTTTGCCACGGCCCATGCTTTAGGCTGTCATCTAGCATTGATTTATATTATGCATACTGAAATAAGTGTAGTAGGAACGTAGTAACTTGAAAAATGAAATGATTATTTCATATGAACAGGAACAAGATGACTCCAACCCCACACCTTTATACATCCTTTTTTTTATTACTGATCCTAAATCCTAATGCTTCATGAGTTGGTGTCACCGGCCCTAAATGCTTTGAGGATTTAGATCTGAAACATTACAAGACTTCAGCTTGAAGCCTAGAACCTTCAAAGGCAACATCTTTTTTTGTTTTTTTGTTTTTTTTTGTTTTCCAATGTATTCAGTCATGTGTTTTCAGATTGTGTAATGAAGAACTGCAGCGGTCGTAGATCCAGTTCAATCTACAAAAAGAACTTGTAGGTACAACTGGCCTTGGATCCTCCTGGAAGGCAAACATCTCAAGTAGTACTGTTACTGCAGCGAGTTGGGTTGTTTCTTTTATTTATTTACATGTCACGTGACATTGACATTATACTTACAAAGCTAGATTCGTCAATCTTTGCTTGATGCCTCAGTTTACTGATGGATATGATCTAGAAAATTCAATCAATGTCAACTTCCCAACAACAGAAAAATACATGGACAAAGGTAGACATTGTGTTAATTTGCAACAATATGTACACTTAACTTTGGGAATTTGGATTTGAATCAGAGTTTTGAGACTTTTCAGGGCATCCTTCCTTCTAGATCGAGGATATTAATTTGTTCCACGTTTATTATTATTTTTTCGAGTATTTGGTGGTGGGTGAAATTGGCATCCAATGTTTCTCTTTAGGAGGATGAGACTTAGGAAAAAGAGAAAAACCAAAAAAAAATCCGAGTGGAGAACCTGTTTTTCCGGG